TATAGGCATGATGCCTCTGTATACAAAGAGTTTATCTGTGCCTTAGATTTAGAAATGTCATAAACCTCTTTTCCTTTTTCATCTCTGGAGTGTTATTAGATCAAGCACAGAGCTGCTAACCAGTGGCAGTATCATTTCAAGGTTAATGGCAGCTTATTACTGTAGTTAGGTCTGCTTGGAAAGACCGAGTTCAGGTGCAAGACAGCATTGCCAGAGTTCTTCCTGTAACTACGCTATTTGATTATTCTTTCTCTCTGCTTTTCAGTTTTTACATTCCTTAAGTGGCTGCCAAACAAATCCATAATGATTTAAAATACTTAAAAGTTATCACATCTGGATGTAGTGCTACTGATGGACTAGAATGATAATGAGTTTTCCCTCCCCAGCATTTCTCTGTCAGATTCTGATAATGTCATGGTTTCTCTTATGTATAACTTGGAAACATTTATACAAAATTTTTATTTTATTACTGCTTGCTGACTGCGGGTGACATTCTAAGAAATGGATGTTAGTTTTCGGAGTTGCCACAGCTGCAAATTATGTGTGCCATGTAATAATGCCTTCTTTTCCGTGTGCTGTGATTACTAAATAAATAATACATGTATCCTGAGATCTCTCGTTTAGGTCAGCAGCATTTGGGAAGCAAAACACTTGTATTTCCCATGTCCTATTTTAAGTTTACTGCCTATTAGTTATGATGCTACATTGGTGTTCTGTTCAATAGCTTGCTTCCAGCCTAGCTTAATATAGTTAATTTTCTTACACTGGAGAGCCCATAATAATAGTAATAGTTTTACGGAGCTTGTGTACAGGAAAGAACAGCACTGTGTATTTTCTCTAGGTTTTCGGCCTCTGACATTAGTGTCAATAAACTGGTCTCAGTCTTGAAAACTCCGTGCTTTGAAGTACCAATGCGTTCTAGCCAAGTTTGAGACCAGGGAAAAATATTTTAATAGAAACGTCTGTCTTGAGAACTCTTCAAGAGTGTAAGCCTTGACTTGAACTGATGTATTTCAGGTACACGTATGGAAAGCCAGTAAAGGGAACTGTGACGGTCACTTGCCTTTCTGTTTCTTACTGGACAAACAAGAGAAATATAACAACAACAATGGAGGTGAGACTAATTCTGTTAGCAGTTTGTAGCTTTGTAGATTTTAAGCCGGTGTCTCTTCTGTAGGTTAAATACGCCTAGGACCATTCTTGAGTCTTGGGTTTCAGCTCTTATGGTCTATGGAGTGATTTGCACAGATAGTGTTAAACTCTCTTTAATTTCCGGATAAAGTGTTTACAATCAGCCTGCTTGTTGGGAAATGATACTTGGCCACTGTGGTCCCATGAACTGTGCCTGGAAGTTATTTTGGAGAGTACTAGTTGGCTCAGGTAGAAAAATTTTCCAGAAGCCACTGTAGTAGCGTAAGTGATGGAGGATGCGTGCCCAGGAACACTCCCTGGCCCCATGTCTGCTCCTGCTCACTGAGCCCTGTTCTTCAAGGCCAGAGGAGACCACTGCGGTTGTCTAGCTGGAGCTCTAGAGACTGAAGTGTTTTACCTGCTCATTGCCTGGTAATTACACTGGAGTTATTCTACTTGTTGTAACCTGAAGCATGACATTTAAAAAGGCGTGCAGTTTTGAACTGAAGATCTAAAAGTGACGATAGTTTCATGGCATCCTTTTGCAAAATCAGGCACCTTACTTTTGAGCTGTGGACTATCTCTAGAGCATGTTCAATTTTTGCTAATTGTGTGCCTGTCGTTTGCTGTCGGCTGACTCTAGGCTGAACTCAGTGCCTTCAGCAGCACTTAGATACTAGGAAAACTAGGAATTAGATATTAGGGAAAAAATAAAAGTAATTTTCTTCATAAGGCATTGTTAACTCCAAAGAGTAAATGAACTTCTACCAGATTTAATAAAAATGTTTACTGAAAGCAGATAGTAAAGGTCAGTATTCATAATTTTCTGTTGACACTCCAGAACTTGTATTTGGGGAGTGCTACAGGACTTTAACCAGAAAAAGCTGTTGTAAATGGAAAAGTGTCCTTGGCTTTGCTAGCTCAACAATATACTTTTTTTCTACATTGCAGATAAATGGATCTGTGAATGTAACCTGTAACAAGCTTATGTTGCAAAACTTGAAGACTGATCAGTTGTGGCACCAAGGTGACAGTGATTACACAGAGCCAATAGAAATTATTGCGGTTGTCACCGAGTCACTCACAGGTATGTGGCTGTGTGATGTCTTCTGAGAGAAATCCAAAGAGTAGGTGGTACTAGAAGAGCTTGCTGCTATGTGGAAGGGCTTACATTACTAGAAAAACATCATGTGCTGATGAGAGTATGAAACATTTACGTGCAAATATATTATCTGAAAAAATATATTATCTGAACTAACTCTTGCTTGCCTAGATATTTAATAGTTTAACCAGCTGTTAATTCAGTTGAATACAGTTCTGAGCTAAATGATTTATTAAATAACCAAGAAATATGTTCAGATGGGGGCTTAAAGTCAGTAACTGATCACTTTTGATGAGGAGAGCAGGCCTAAAGAATTGCTAGCATTAGCCTGAGTCTTCCAAACTTAAGTTTAATCACGAACTTACCTCACTTGTTTTTTTGTAAACTAAGTCTGTAGGAAGAGTCCACTGTCTATCCTCTTCTAGACCAGCTGATTTGCAAACTAAGCCTTTATGTGAGTTCATCTTCCACTGCACCTTGCATATTAGAAAGCAATCATCAGTACAAAATTTCTGTCTGTCCCAGAAACTAATTTCATTATGGACTTTCTGTAGAAACCCTGTCAAGGTGAAATTAACCAATACGGGCTTTGTAAGTGTGCTGCTTTGTACTGATCCTTAGATGGAAGGATGAAGAGCAATAAGAGTGGAAATGGTGAAAAACATATAAAATTGTTTTAAAATCACAGACAGTAAATAGTACTGCTGCTAAATAGTATTGCTGCTAAAGTATTATGTGTGTTAAAAGCATGTTTTCTAAACACATACAATTATTCAACAGGCATCTCCCAAAATTCAAGTACCATCATATTTCCAAAGCAAAGTGACTATTTTATTGAATTTATGGACTACTCTAGAGTTATAAAACCTTCTCTGAACTTCATAGCTACTGTAAGTAAGTTCTTTTGTTTTATTATGACCTGTGCATAAACAAATGTGACTTCTCTGGTATTTTTGCTTGGATGCCAAAGTTTGACTCATATTTTTAAGTATAATTTGTTTTCACATTACCTCTTTTTCATGATACATATTGACAAACACTAAACTTAAAGATGTTTACTCTAGAAAAGGATGAAGTGGCAGGGAATGCTGTAGAGTTAGTAGGATATATTTGAGTATAGTTTGTCAGCATTCTTACAGAAGCGAAAGCTTTTCAGTTTTTAGCTGATTGTTTTCCATTAGCTGACTGTGCTTTAAAACAGTACTGTAGTTATTGAGTCCTGACCCTCCTAATAATATTTGTATGTGGATATATATATGCACACAAATGTATATATACTTTAGATAATACATATATACATATAATTAAGCAGCTGTTACAAAATTCAGTAAAACTCATCAAACGCATTACTCTCAAGGCAAAGTGTCTTTTCTGCCTTCTGTCCTGTCTTTTTCATACCAGCTGCAGTCCTCTCCTAGAGGTATTATTTCATGTTCTTCATGCTGTCCATAGTTTGCCTTCAGTATTTCTACGTTTAGCAGAGGTTGCATATTGTGTGAGTATGTTTTACTTGGAAAGGGGAATTGACTTTACAGTTCTTGAAATCAGACTTAAATATCAATAAAATAGCCTTGAATATACACTTTTAGAGTAGATTGTCTCAAGTCATAGCTTTGTGCTGGCCTGATAATTTGGGTCTCTAGTTTTAGTCCTTTTCATTTTCCTTGCCAGCATCCCAGTTTGATTCCAGCTCTGAGCTCCTTCTTCTTCCTTTCCCAAAGACTGTCTGAGTGAGAGGTAGCTGAGGCATTTAGCAATGCTTGCAGCTGACACAAAAGAAGCTATCAGTTATACTCCCAGAGGTATGTCAAGGAATAGCTGCTGGTATTACTAGTAAGTGGAGATCTGCATATGCTGTACGAAGACAGGATAGGAAAATAATGGCAGAAGAGGAGAGGTAATGGAGTCACAGATCTCTGGATTGAAAAAGAAACGGGAAATATGAGTTCATTGCTTTTAAATGTAGAAGTTGATTTTTTAGAGTGTGTAATGCAGGATAATGGTTTTACTGTGAATGATAATCTGCCTGGGTATGGGAATAAAGGTTGATGTAAGTTGTAGTGCTGATTGATGGATGCTGGAGTGAAGAAGTTGCAGACTTGTTTTAAGTCTTTTCTTCAGCTCATTTGAAGAATTCATAAAGACATCTGACTTGGCACCATCTCTGCTCATCTGAGATATTTTCCTGCACACGATGTAATGTTAAGTTGTCCTTTGTTGTGGTGGTGAGATACAAGTGATAACATTAAATACTCAGGCTGTAGGTAGGGTATGTATAAATTTGCCTTTTCAACAAGAAGAGTAATTGGGAGAGCTGAAAGATAGGTTGTCAGGTCATCTTTAGGTTCTATCTACTTTGCTCTTGCTCTTTTTACTTCCTGGAGTAATGAATATTTATTCTTGGCTGACTGCAGTGCTCACAAAAGGTTAAAAATAAAGTTACTAATGTGTAGGAAATCTGAGGGTGCCCTTATTTTCTGATATGATGTGAATGCAAATATATGGGTATAGATGATACGTTGTGCTTTTTAGCTTTATCTTGACTGATGGATGTTTTTGGTTTTTTTTTGGTTTTAGCTAAAGGTGACACGTTCTGATAGCAACCAACTGACAGCTGAAGAGAGGCAGCATCTTGTCACAATCACTGCACAACAGTCAGACCTGCCTTTTCACCACTCTTCACTTTCTCAGCTTGAGAATGAGGCAACAGAGGAGAGAAATCTGACAGTCCATGTCCTGAATTACACTGTCCCAGAAAATGGAATAATTGATATTGAGTTTCCAATCCTGTCTGATACAAAAACTCTGAGAGTTCAGGTATTGCTTTGTAATTTGTTGCTTTGGAGCAGTGACACACCACACTGAGCAGGCTTTGATCAATGATGTACTGTTCCTGCCAGCTGCAACAGCTGATATTTAATCTACTGTAATTTTCCTTACCTGATATTCGTTTTAGAGGTGGAGAGAATGTGATGGATCCTATCTAAATGTGATATAATAATTGCACCAGGATAGAAAAGGATAAACCAAAACTAATACAAAGAGAAGTAATAAACTGGTCCTCTACTGCTATTAAGGCTACCATGCTTTTGTAAACAGTGCAACACATGTGAACATCACACAGATTTTTCTGTTTTATTAAGAGCTTTGTTTTGCATTGTCTTGCAGGCAGAGTTCCTCAGCAGTAGGACTGACATAGGTGTTTATGATGTGTTCAGCTCCCCCAGCCAGACTTATCTCCAGATTAAAACAAAGAGCCAGGATATAAAGGTACAGTCTGAGACAAGACTTGCCAAGATAAGAACCATCCAAGTTGCTAATCATGTTTCCATACTTTTTCATATGAATGTATGCTTTTCCTAGGCTGGGAAACCTTTTGAGCTAAGCATTGCAAGCAACAAGCCAGTGAGAGAGTTCCACTATCTGGTAAGTTACTGGTTTTACGTATGAGGGCAATCCAAGATGACTTTTACCAGTTTGAGAAATACTTCAGTGAGTGGAATACGATTGAATGTTAGATTCAGCATTTTTAATTGTGCTTTGTGAAAGAGGTGATACAAAAACTTCCTTTCCACTAGGATGATCATTTTTATAGAATCACAGAATGGTTTGTGTTGGAAAGGACCTTAGAGATCATCTCATTCCAACCCCCTGCCATGGGCAGAGACACCTTCCACGAGACTAAAATGCCCAAAGCCCCATCCAGCCTGCCCTTTAACACTTCTAGGGAGAGGGCATACTCAAGTTCTCTGGGCAACCTGGTCCAGTGCTTCGCCACCATCACAGTGAAGAATTTCTTCCTAATATCAAATCTAAATCTGCCCTCTTTCAGTTTGAAACCATTACCCCTTGTCTTATTGCTACTCTCCCTGTATAGAGAGTCCCTTCTCAACTTTTATACAGGCCCCTTTTTACCAACGGATTGTTTCACTTTTTCTTTGCAGGTGTTATCTAAGGAACAAATTATGGCTTTTGGCACAAAGGCTGCAAAAACATTCACTTTAACAGCAGAAAATTCCTGGGCTCCTTTGGCATCTATACTTGTATTCTATGTTGATGAGCTTGGAGTGGTTGTAAATGATGCTCTCACTGTCCCCATTCAGCCTGTTTTGGATGACAAGGTAACTATATTGAACTTAAGTCCGAGACCATGTTTCTGTCTATTTGTTCTGTGGTAAACATTATTTTAGATCATAGGATTGTAAATGTAAACACTTCCTCACTGAGGATCTAATCTGAGGTTTGTGTAAGCCTTTGGAAAAACTTCTGTTAATACCAGTGCAGTGACGGTTCAGCTATTGCCTGTCTGAAGGAAATTTCTCCTAGCCTTATGTTTTCCACAGGAACAGATGCACAGCATCTCCTTTTGGTTTTAGTAGGTTGGTCAATTAGCAAAAGATTGCTCTGGCCAATATAGTGGAAAGGTACTCATAGGCATTCTAAGTATGAAACTGTGAATGTTTATAAAGATCTTATTCTAGCCGGGCAGTGGTCACATTGTATGTGGTGTGTCATCAGTCAATGTGACCAGTGTTTGTGTTTCATGTGACTGTGCACACATTAACTCAAAAAAAACTTAAAGAGGAGTGGGAAAACTACTGTTGCAGCAATAAATCGATTGCACAGCTGCCCCTTCTTCCCCCAGTGTGGTTGCCACCAGTGCCAGGCAACCCCAGAGAACTTTTGTCCTGGTGTTCTCAAACCAGGACACCAGCTTATTTAGCAGGATGAGATTTGATCCTTTGTGCAAATAAAAGCCTCACTGTGACTTTTACAGGTGAGACTACCCAAAGACTCTTGATGGGTTCAGATTCATCCTTCCCTATGGAAACTTTAACACTTATAACCAGACATCAGTAGGGAGGCTATTTTACTCCTGCATAAAAAAACCTTCTCCGTTCCTTTCATGATTTATCCAAACTCAGGATATGAGCATTGTTATCACAGGATAAGAAAATGGAGAGGCAAGATGGTGAGAGAGCTGCAGGCACACATTTGTTGTTTGTGGTTATCATGTACCACTGCCTGAAGAATATAAATAAATAGAAAACAAATAGGATAATTTAGTAAACAAATAAGATAATTTAGTTGAAACTTGAGAGTTTTAGGGTGGATAGACGAAGATATTACTAATGAGGAAGGCATAACAGTATGGTTCAGTCTTCTGGGAATAAACTGAAATCTTTCCACAGACTGCAGTTGTAGTGTGTTGACCCTGGCTGGATGCCAGGTGCCCATCGAAGTCCCTCTATCACTCCCCACCTCAGCCGGACAGGGGGAAAAAAATATAATGAAAGGCTCATGGTCAAGGTAAATACAGGGAGATCGCTCAGGAGTTACCATCATGGGCAAACCAGACTTGACTCTGGGAAATTAGTTTGACTTATTACCAATCAAATCAGTGATGGGCAATGAGAAATAAATGCAAATCTTAAAACACCTTCCTCTCACCCCTCCCTTCTTCCCAGGCTCAACTTCACTCCTGATTTTCTCTACCTCCTCCCACTCAGTGATGTAGGGGGACTGTGAGTGTAGGTCACAATCTCTTCATCACACATTCTCTGCTGCTCCATCCTCCTCAGCGGGAGGACTCCCCCTCCTGCTCTTTTCCTGCTACAGTGTGGAGTCCCTTCCATGGGAGTCCTTCATGAACTTCTCCAATGTAACTTTTTCCCAAGGAAGAGAGTTTTTCACAAACTGCTCCAATGTGGTGCAGTCCTTCAGGAACAGATCGCTCCAGTGTGGGTTCCCCACAAGTCCTGCCACCAAACCTGCTCCTGCGTGGGCTCCTCTCCCCATGGATCCGCAGGTCCTGCCAGGAGCCTGCTCCAGCATGGACTTCCCATGGGGTCACTGCTCCCTTCAGGCACACCTACTTGCTCCCGCATAGGGTCCTGCACTGGCTGCAGACGGACATGTGCTCCATCACTAACCCCCATGGGCTGTGGGGGGACAACCCACCTCGCCATGGTCTTCACCACAGGCTGCAGGGGAATGTCTGCTCTGACTCTACTGGACATGGGGGAAGCTTCTAGCAGCTTCTCACAGAAGGCACTCCTGTAGCCCTGTACCAACAAAAGTATAAACAAAGAGGATAAAAAAAATCAAGTTTAAGTTATGAGAATTTAATATCAACCATGACTGATCTCAGAGGCTTCAAAAATTCAAGCTATTTCCATTTTGCCATTTCAAAGCTAGGCAGTGACATCAATTCAGTACTATGGAAATCTACTTTCTCTGTAATTTATAACCTTGGCAAACATTTAATTTCTGTAAATCGGTTAATAAAATCAAATACACTGACCTGCAGTGCTGCAGTGTACCCAGATAAAAAACATTTGTTCTGTGTCAATTAGTCTCATGCCCATCTACAGTGAAGCACATAGTGCTAATCCCATTTATGTTGGCAACATTAGTGTGTTTGCTGTTGCTCTGTGATTTTTATACTGAATGTGTTTGGAAGATACCAATAACACAGATTTATCAGAGGAAGGGGCTGTAGATTCAGACATGTAAATACATACCCTTACATGTAGGATCAGGATTCAGTTGCTTCAGCCCAGACATCTGGTGTCCTCCAAGAAGCCACAGGGTGCTCAAGGTGTCATCATGGGATGGGTAGATGTTTCAAAGGCCCTGTGGGAGACCTGTTCCTTTCTGATCGGGAGCTTAGGGTCAGACAGCGTGCTCTGAGACATCTCAAGTGGTTCCAGGTGCCTTCAGTTGACTAAATTTCATCTCTGTATGTGAGTTATGTATCTAAACTCAGTTTACAGAGGACCAGTTGTGCCAAGAGTGTTGTTTTTCTTTCTGGACCTCCAGTGCCTGCTCCAGAAGGATAAGTTACGTGTCCTGTCTGGCAGCACCACTGGATGTGTTGTGGATATCTTTGATCATCTCAAATGGTGCTGAGTGCCAGTGTTTATATAATTGAATCCCACCTGCAGGCAGTATAGTCAGTGGACTCTGTAGGAGTGTCTTCTTCGCCACCAGCTGGATTTATGCTTCTTGGTGGGCCAAGCTACTGCTTAGTCTTCATTATTTCTTTTGACTCCATGTGATGGGAGCTTAAACACTGAAATGAAACATGGACAACGAGATAGAGGTAACTTAAGTGTGGAGCTTAATTCTACTTGAAGACTTTTTAGTAATGGTGTTTTGATGAGAGAAAAGAGTAAAACTGTTCATTTTAAACAGAAACTGTGCAGTGTCATCTGATGCAGTGGAGATGAGGTGCATTAGAAACACGTTACAGCAGATGAACCTTCCTCTCTTCAGTACACAGAGGAAGGCATACTGATGCTGTATTAGCATTATTAGCCTCTTTATTTCCTTCTTTCTTACCCATGCACCTGTTACATATATGCCTTTTCTGTGTTGATCTCACTATGTAATCTTTGAGGGCTGATTTTTTTCCTAAAATCATCTTTCCCTTAATATGTTACATGCTGTGTTGTGCAATGATAAACAGTGAATGCATTTCTTCTGCTGAGCTCAGCTGCAGAAACTGGTATATCCTTGTGGCTCAGGAGTTTGCTGCTTGTATACTAAATACTGGTTGAAATGACAATGAATCCTGATGCTGGCTTCCCACCAGTCCAAGAAACTGATCATGGAATCATTTTGGTTGGAAAAGACCTTCAAGATCATCAAGTCCAGCCATTAACTAACTCTGCCAGGTCCATTTCTAAACTATGTCCCTGAGCACCATATCTAAACAGCTTTTAAACACATCTGAGGATGGCAATGCAACCACTTCCCCAGACAGCCTGTTCCAGTCTTTGTTAACTTTCAATGTAGAAGTTTTTCCTAATGTCTAACCTAAACCTCCCATGGCACAGCCTGAGGCCTTTTCCTCTTGTCCTGTTGGTTGTAACTTGTGAGAAGAGACCAACACCCACTTCTCTACAACCTCCTTTCAGAGAGTTGTAGGGAGCGATAAGGTCTCCCCTCAGCCTCCTTCAGACTAAACAACCCCAAGTCCTTCCGCTGCTCCTTGTAAGACTTTTTCTTGAGACCCTTCACCAGCTTTGTTGCCCTTCTCTGGACCCACTCCAGCCCCTTGATGTCTTTCTTATACTGCCCAAAACTGAGCACAGCGCTCAAGGTGCGGCCTCACCAGTGCCAAGTACAGTGGGGCAATCTCTTCCCTACTCCTGCTGGCCACGCTATTCATGATGCAGGCCAGGATGCCATTGGCCTTCTTGGCCACCTGGGCGCACTGCTGAACTAGGAGAGCAAGAGAACAAAGTGAATGCCATATTATTTTCACAAAGGTCCTAGGAAAACCAAATCCGAAGTCTTAATTATAGACAATTAAGCTAAGAAATGCCTCCTTGCAGTTGGTAGTGGCTGTACATATCACTATATAGTTTAAAACAATGCTGGGTTTGCCTTTTTTATAGATTAAAATCTCTTGGAGCAAAGACAAGGTGAAGCCATCTGAGAAGGTCTCACTTAAAATCAGTACAACAGAACCAGGATCAGTCATTGGACTTGCAGTTGTTGATAAAAGTACAAAGCTTCTGGGAGAAAGTAGTGACATAACAGAAGATTCTGTAAGTACATGGGAAAAAAGGTTTTCATTATTGTGTATGTGTGTATGAAAGACGTATGTTTATGTACTCATATGTGTATGAAAGATATGTTTATGGAAATGTTACAGTTTATATACTGAATGAGTAACCTCATTTGGGCAGGATTTTTGGTTCTTAATTATGGAAGTATTTTTACTTCTGCAAGTAGTTTATCAACATGAGCAGAAAAGACTGTAAGGCTTACAGGCTAATGGGCCTGTCATTTTTAATTCCAATTAATACTTTATGGTTCTTCCATTTGATAAGCTGCTCAGTTAACACTTGGCAGTTTCTTCTTTCAGGAAAGACAAAAAAATCAGAAAAACTTCCTAATGGTTTGTTCTTTGTGCTCTTTAAAATTAGTGATATAAAAAAATAATTTTATTTTTTTTAAGAATAGAATAAATTACTCATCTTTTTGAATTATTTTTACTTGCAGAAGCTCTAGTACATCAATGATTGTAAAGAGTTGAGAGTTTACATAATTCTTAAAGTGCTCAAATGGCATAGTTTAAGTGCCATAGGGTATCAGTGGATTATATAGGCTTGGTCACTCTTTCATTAATCAAGAAACAATTGCAGCCTAATCCACTTAATCATGTTGTGGATCCTCTTCTCTTTGACATGAGAGCTGAGCAAGCTACTCCTTGAGGTATAGCTCTATGGATTAATATCTGGAACAGTGAAAATTCTGAAAAATGTCAGTTTGCACTCAGTGTTTGAATGATTTTGTTTCCTTTGTCTTAGGTCTTCCATGAGCTCAATTTATACAACTCAGTGCAGTATTTCCCCCTGGTCAGAGGTTCTTTTGGTGTTTTTCAGGTACTTTTTTAAAAAAAAAATTCTAAGCTGGAATTTTTTTTACTGCTTAGTGATTTACACATCACTTACTAGAAGAAAATGCTCTTGTTAAAGTTTGGGACTGTGGACAATGTACTGTTTTCATAGCTTATATGGGTTTTGAATTGTGAAATTCATCAATATGTAAATACTCTGAATGCACAGAAATATGTTCATACTTTCATAAGTACAAATTGCTTTATGATTGATATTGCCTTCTCTTTGAGAAGGTTTCAGTCATTAAGGCAATATTCAGATGATCTTCTTTGTTCGTTTCTGTATATTACTTGCTTTAGCTCTGTGGTTGCTTTATTATGATAACTTTATTTTCTTAAAAAGAAAGAAAAAGAAAATAGATAAACACTGTTGATGTCCTGAATTCCCTTTACTGAGATATACCGTATAAATTTTATCCAGAAATGCAACCTTTGGGTATCAACTGACGCAGTTCTTGAGGAGGATAAGGAACATTTTCTTTGTAAGTAATAAAAATGAATGTAGCCAAATCTAATTTATGGAGTGATTAAGATGATTAAGAGAATGGAACATCACCCTTATGAGGAAAGGCTGAAGGAGCTGGGTCTCTTCAGCTTGGAGAAGAGGAGGCTGAGGGGTGACCTCATTAATGTTTATAAATATGTCAAAGGGGAGTGTCAGGAGGACAGAGCCAGGCTCTTCTCAGCGACATCCAATGACAGGACAAGGGGCAAGGAGCACAAACTGCATCCTGCTTTGCAAACCATTACCATTTCCAAGGTTCACGACATACAAAATGCATATGACTAGTACTGTGAAAACTTCCTTTTTGCTGCTATTCTGAGTGACACTACCCCTTAAAGGCCTAAGGGTGAATGGAGTTTTTATTTGCAGTTCCAGCTGATATATGTCGCAGTAGTTTATCATGTGTAGCTATATTACACCAGTTCTGTAAGCATTCCGGATAGCCCATGTAGAGATTTAAGTTTGCGTGAAACTTTTTTTTTATTCTTAAAAAAAAATCCTAAGAAGACAAAAAAAAAGTCGACCATAATGTCAAAGAGTAGTGTTAGCGTATGTAACAAAGCTATAACTTATAGTCCAAACACTCTATTAAGTTGACTTTTCTTAACTGTATTCATTTGATTTTTCTTGAATCTAAATGCTCGCAAGTAGGACAATATTTTTTATTTTGTAGATGGTGGAATGATACCCATAGAGGATGGTTTTGGTGATGATATGCCAGTATCTAAAAATGGACCTCCTGATTTTGGCGATCTCTATGTGAGAACACATTTTCCAGAAACCTGGCTTTGGATCGACACTAAAACTAGGTATAAGATTAGAAGCAAATGGAAACTGATTTACCATTGCCGCTGTTATTTTGTAGAGTTCAGTCGCATTCTGCACTGGTGCTGAAGAGCATGACGCTTAAAAATATGTTATTTGTATTCTACTACCACCTAGAGGCCACAAGTGAGATTGGAGACCCACCAAATAAGGCACAAAATAGGACAATGCCTGACTGAAGGCCTCGTAGTTTTAATAGAAGCTAGATAAAAATCCCGGAGATAAAAAAACCCTCAACTCTCTTCCTTTTACAGATAGGGAGATAACAGATAGGGAGACCTGGTCTTTTTCTCTATAGTACATGAGAAGATGGTGATTAGCCCCAACAGGGAAGTCGGTTCCTGCCTGCACCTAATTCTATGAACAGTTCAAACTGTCAACTGCTGCTGAAACCTGACCTGCACAGATCTTGTATTCTTTCACAGCTGAAAAGCTCAGGAAGTAGCCATCACCAGGGATTGTTTTAGAGGATCTGAAAAAGCTGATAACGTGTAATGTGATTCAATTACCATCAGTTCATGCAATTTAAAATAATTTCTTTAACTCATTTTGATCCCATCACAAGTGTTTCTAAAGGAATAGGAAGAGAAAACCAAATAATCATCAGCTTTTCCTGCCAAGAGTTTGGACTTAATTTCTGATGCATTTTAGACATTTGTGTCCACTTAGGGATGTCTATAAATGGATGCTTTTGAAAGCCTGCTCTCCCCTTCTGCCATCAGATCTGACACAGACACCACAATGGAAGTCATTGTACCTGATACCATCACATCCTGGGTAGCCAGTGCTTTTGTGATGTCTGAGAAGGGAGGACTTGGAGTGACAACTGCACCGGTGGAGGTACCATCACACTAGACAGTTCTTTAAATGTTGATGATGCTGTTGGTTATTACCAGAAGCTGTATTGTTGTTCTAACAACAGCCGTCTCCTTAACTAATAAAATCATTGAGAGGCCATGTATATTGAAACTGTAAAAAAACATCATCACTGAAGAAATATGAGATACTCTATCAGCCTCCCCTTCTTGTTCATATAAATATCTCAGACATTACACAAATACTTGAATGTGTCTTTCTGTTGGAGCAGTGGTTTTATTATAGCACTTTCAGGATGTGTCTCTGCTTCAGAATCTTTGTATGTAGAAAGGGGAAATGGCTGCCTGGGGACAGAGTGTTTCCATGTTTTCTTGTCTCTGCCAAGAGGGCGTTCCAACAGTTGATAGTACATGCAGGGAGATTAGCACAGACTAGCTGGGAAGAAGTAACTGAAAGGGGAGGGGCACATTGTCTGTTGGAAAGATCATGTTGGAAATATCATGCCAATGTATTGCTCCTCTAAAACTTTCCCCAGCAGGTAGGACAGGAGAATTGCTTTAAAGACTAAATTCTGACCTCACCTTCGTTTATCTGTTAAAACCAGTCTTGTACTAAACATAGGTGGTGCTTTTTGGGTGACTTATTTTGAGAAGCTGTCAAGTTCTTGTCTCCTTAGGCTTTTTTTTTGTGCTTCCAAGTGTTTGAGGAGTTTTAGGAATTTCAGCTAAATTTGGCACTCTTTAGATTAGATCTCTAACCTAAGATTCCCAGAGTCCAAGTGCAGTTGTCCTAAGCTCTCTCTGTGTTCATGGAAATAGCTACTTAGAGTTATTCAGACTGATTAATACAGGAATTACTTTTTGAAGTCTTATATATGTTGAAGGTAGTTATCTGCTTTCATTCATTATGTGAAGATCCTAGAGAAACTGTGTTCCTAACTGAGACAACTCAAGTGCCTAAGGTTAGAAACTATGCAGTACTGGGTCATAGATTTACAACGTGATGCCAGGACTAGTGCAAGCATAGCTTGGAGACAGCCATTTACCCGTTTAATTCTCATGCCTTCAAATTCTTGGGGAGGGGCAACTTTTGGGATCCAAACCGAGATTTAGGTCCAGATTTCTAAGTTGGCTGCTACACCAGACACAGAACATGTGCTTTGAACATCTCGATCATAACTCCACCATAGAATTTGGACCCTGAATCTGGATTTTGTGGCTAATGACTCCTTTGAGACTGGAGTCGTGATTCTCATTTCTTTGACTTGGCTTGGCAGAGATGTGACAGAAAGAGGAATAGTTTTCTGATTCAAGCTGTGTGAAAATATATACTTGGCCTCTCATCCTCAAATCTGAGAAGGCTGCAAGTAGAACAGATGTTGAGATTACTGTTTAACTATAATCACCCACACGCACTGTTCAGTACTTCGTTCTCATTGGGGTGTTTAGATCGTACTTAGAGTTCCATATAGCTGAAACATGTTAATCAGTACCATACAGAAAGGCAAATAAAAGAAATGCATGAAAACTGTAATGGGGAAATAAGTAAGTGACATCTGTGTGCTTAATGTCATTTATTTTGCATCTTGTTTTTATTTGACGCCTACTACACAGTGTCGATAACTTTTACCCTATCATGTTTTATTGTAATGTACTGGAATATTCCTGATTGTAAAACTTAAGCATTGCAAGAGTTGTAGAGAAAAGCAAAGCAAAAAAAAAAAAAAAAAGACAATAAAAACAGGTACACAGGGTAAAATGTAAAATGTGACTAAGAACTAAAAAATAGTTATCCATCAGAACTTCTCTAATTAAAGAAATTTTTGACACTGAAGGCTTTAGCAAACAGCTTCTCGAAGTTTTAAAAAGAAGCTGTTGGAATATTTGCTAGCTAGAAAGAAAACTGAAGAGTTTTTAGATTTGAAACTCAAAACACTTGGAAGATTTTTTTTTAATGAAAACCAAATTAAAACCATTTTTAGCTAACATTTCGATAGTAAGAAATATCATGCTTCAGTCATTCTTATTGTACAGATGTTCATAAACAGTGAAATTTGGATCCCCTTCAGCTTGATGAGAGCTTACCACTGACTTCTCAGAGCCAAGACTTTGTCCAAACCCCTCTGTTCACAGATAAAAGTAATTGCTTGCTGGTACATTTCTGTAGTTTTTATTTTAATTAAGAAAATCTGTATTTTTAGAAATATAACTAAAGAATTTATGCCAACATTAATCTTTCAAAATAACACATCATTCTAAGGTGCTGGTGAATTACAGAATCTGGGAGAGATAGTTATTTCGTACTCCAACATCCATTTCTGTATTGACATGGAGATAAGGCAAATGACAGATTCTTAATCATCCGTTACTTGTGCACTCAAGCCAGTTCAGTTATCTTGGTGAGATCCCAGGACAGATCGCAGCTTCTAAACTTGCCAGATGGAAGGCTCTTAGTCCCAGTTCAGGTGCCTCTGTTAGGACTTTCCTTGTCAAAGCTGTCAACAGACCTCATCTAGATGGCACCGCTGAGTTCCTGCAAAGGTGCTAACGACAAGAAGCATCTTTGGCTTCTGCTTCAGCCCTGCAGCAATGCGTTTTGTTAACTGTAGAGTACAAGTAAACATACTCTGTCATCTGTATTTAAAAATGATCGAGTAGTCATTTTCTTGCTAGTATCCGACTGTAGGAGTTCACTGCTGATTTTGTTTTGCAGCTAGAAGCTTTTCAACCTTTCTTCATTTTCCTGAACCTTCCATATTCTGTCGTCAGAGGAGAGCAGTTCATTTTGGAAGTAAACATCTTTAATTATTTGAAAGAAGAAACTGAGGTAAAATAACAGTCTCTTTGTATCTGAAAATTACTCGACACTGCAGAGTTTTAATCACTGGTGGAGACCACATCTTTCTCTTAAGAGAACTTTAACATTTTCTTCAGTAGGTGGACTGTAAAGCTATTTTTCTATGCACAAAAAAGGTGGCAGCTTATGAAAGCAGTTTTTCAAAAGGAACACTTTGTACTGCAAATGTTACTGTATTTACAGGTTACCGTGATCCTGGATATGAATGATGCTTTTGAAATGATCGTAACATCCAATGAAATAAATGATACAGAAAATCAACAGTCTATATCTGTACCAAGTGAAGATGGGAAAACTGTTCAATTCCCAATCAAGCCAAAACAGCTGGGAGAGATTCCCATCAAAGTGACAGCAATATCATCTGCTGCTTCTGATGCTATCATCCAGAAAGTTTTAGTAAAGGTAACCAGTTTGCAGTTGGCTTGATCCTGAAATAAATTGTTCCCTAAAATAGACAACACAGTGCAGGAAAAAATCAAATCAGTTTACTTGTCTGCCTCTTGCTTTGTGAGGTTTGTATCAGGTCAGGTGGCTTTAAGCAGAAAACGTTTCTTTTAAAATAATTTATCCTTTATTATTCTTTAGATTCCCTTCTAGGAATGAACATATAAATGTGTTCTACAACAGATAGTGCATCAAATATTTTGAAAGCAACATGAAACTTGTCTGTGCATCAATGAACCTTTTGAATCATTAAGATTCAAGACCTAACTTAATGATCTGTGGAGGGCTGACCAAATAACTGTGTCATGGATAATTTTGCCATACACCTGATGAGTTCAAAGTCTATTTTATATGAACGTTTCTGTATTTTGCTAGTGGGGAAAATTTAGACTACAGACTTTCTGATAAACCAGAGACTGATAAGACTTTCCTAACTTTGAACATCTAGGTCTGATTCATGTTAGGCCCTATTTCAGTGGAGAGTGGTAGACATTTGTACTTCTCATCCCAAAATAAATGCTTAAAATCACAGAATCAGAGACAGAGATTGAAGCAAATAGTGGAGGTAGGTCTTTATAAGTAAAACATTTCTGTGTCACTTTGGATGGGCCAATAGCTCAGGTTTTTGATGTGTTAGCAAGCAGCACAAAATACCTGTTTTAGATCCCTCAGCACAGTAAGTGCATAACTCCTGTCCTAAAATCAACAAACTGTTGGAGTTGACAATAATCCTGTCTTTATTTGGATAGGCTGAAGGATTGGAACAGACATATTCGCAGACAGTCCTTTTGGATTTGACTGGGAATAAGCCACAAGCAGTGTCAAAACCTTTGGATTTCACTTTTCCTTCTGATGTTGTAAGTGGCAGTGAGAGAGTGCAGGTCACTGCTGTTGGTAAGGATTGTCATACTCTATTTCCGTCCTTATAATTTACTGTTCAGCTGTATTTTTTTTTCTTAAATATTTTTTTGCTTGCTGGGCCTTTGTTGAACTTGATATCTATCTATGTGCCCATAATCAGCTGCAGGCCTAGGTGGTTTTTAAAGAACAGAGCGATTGCCAGTAATAATTAGAAGGAGTAAACTGTTGTCACGTGGAGCAGGGAGGCTGATATATAATAACCTCAGCTACCTTATCAGGATTTGCCAGAGCTTCTCTCAGAGTCCTGGCTGAAGAATACTTAGAAGATTTTGCCCAGTATGGCTGTTGATTTATAGGTTTGTAGGGAACTGCACTAATTTTTATTTAACTGCTATATTAATAGGTTGAATCATTGGTTCAAAATCATGCATTAGTCTAACCATAGGAGGAACTTAGGGGTGGAGTTTGTTATTACTTTGATTTATGATATCATAGTATTGACTATCCATTTTCAGAGTTAGGGAGTCAATTTTTAATAAGGAAGGTCTGGCAAAGTTTGCTAGTGTCCTGTTTTAATTCTGCTTGTCTGCAGAGTAAGACCTAAAATCTGACAAATTGTTGTTTCTTGTGATCCCTAGGCTTTGGTAATAATTGTGGGCTAGAAAAGAAATACAGGAAGTTTCAAATATGTTTCATTGCTGAAATGTTTTCCTGAATTAAGTATATTTTGTATATTTTCTTTTTTTTTTTTTGAATGGTGGCTATTTGAAATGACTCTGTAGTTGAAAAGGTCAGTGAGAAGATGGGTCAATGGGCACAAAGTTGATAAGAAGATAAAGTATCCTTTCTGTGTGAGGCATGCATTTATTTACAATAAGTTGTAATTTATTTTTATTAAATTTTACCTTTCAGGTGATTTACTTGGGCCTTCCATCCATGGTTTGTCGTCATTGATTAAGATGCCTTATGGCTGCGGTGAACAGAATATGATCAATTTTGCTCCAAATGTTTATGTTTTGCAATACCTGACTAAAACCAGGCAGCTGAGAGAGGATATTAAATCAAAAGCTGTATCATTTATGAGAAAAGGTCTGTATGATTAAAACAAAGATGTTAGATTTTTAAGAACTCTTACTAGTAAAAAGATGTCCATGACTCTGCATTTGGTATTTAAAATACTGCTCCCTTTGTGTCATGTGAACTGGAAGAAAAGCCCATCTCTCTCTTTTCCTCTTTTTTTCTTTGCTAACAGAATTAAAGAGCAAATTATTTTGTTTACAAGAGTGAGTTTGCTCAGGAAGAAAAATGTTGTTTTTATAGAATTACCTTTTTTTCCTGATGAAAAATGCATTTTAGAAGTAACTCCTATGGATTTCCTGGGTGATGGTTATTCCTCCTTTGATAAAACCATGCTCGAACAAACATTTATCTCTGAGGCGCAGAAGCTGACAATTAGTCAGTGGGCAGAGTGAACCATATTCATCCCACATGTGTATCTGTCTTCAGTGATGCTGTCCCTCTCCTGCTACGTCCTTGTAGAGCTCAAGGAGTGGCTGATTGATCTGGTGGCTGGCTTTCGCCCACCCAAGTTTTAGGCTTAGTCAGAAGTCAGCTCTGTGCTGGAAATCAAAACCTGGAAAATTTTAGTTGGAAATTGTTGTATATTTTAATTGGGATGTGCTCTAGGACATCACAAAGTGTGGAGAACAGAGTTGCACTTTGTGCCTTTTGGATCAGACAATGTCTAAACTGCCATGTACCACATTTGCCACGTCAGTCCGCATGCTGAGAGCCTGGTTCACAGGGGGGAGTGAGACCATCCTCATGTGAACTACACCCTTACGAAGGCATCGTGATGACATTTTCAAATTTTGCTTGCTCTCTGTGGGTCTTTGAATTATTTTTCTTTTCTTTGTGTGTGATTTTTTTTTTGAAGTTGTTGACATTTCCTTTGGAAAAGACATAGCTCAAAATAAATTTTCCTTTCATTAAGATCCCAGTTTTCTGTCAAAAGTAGTTAATTTTTTTTTTTTTAAATCCTTCCTACTCCATGGGTTAATTGAGAAGTAAGATGAGGAGGAGATGTGTTATATAAACAGCTACTCTGAAGTTTATCAGCACTCTACCACTCTTTAAAGCCTGAGGTTTTCTACCATGCTCTTCTGAAGCTTCCCAGTAGCTGACTTGCTACAGTTATTTCAAAGCAAGTGAAAATTACAGGATTAAATGTCACTTGTATACAAAGCATGGTGTTACTTGTTCATTGGGGCTTTGAAATTAGGTATATGTTTTTAGAACTGTAGTAGCCAAAAGAGTAAGTATGCTGAAATATTTGTAATGTTAAGATAGATAGGAAAAAAACACAATAAAAAAAAATTCTATTTTTTAACAATTGATTTTACTTGTTGCACCGATTTTGTTTTTAAACGTCATCTTAAAGTTGAAATTTATCTTTAGTTTGAGATGTAACTTTTATAAGATCATGGAATGGATTGTGATAAAGTTTAATTTAAACCAGACTTTATTTCACATGTTAGAATTCACTAAATATTGAAAAATTGACCTCATAGTCTGAAGTAAGTATAATTAATTTTAAGGCTAAATGCTTGTGAGGGGAAGGGATCATATAGCTAGGAAAGACTGCTGTATGATCTTTCTTTTAGCAGTTTTTATTTACCTGGAACAAAGGTTAAGCAAAAAAAAAAGGCTGCACTTAAAAAAAATCCTTCAGTTGTTGGAATGACAGATCCAACTTTGAAATCACTTCTTCGGAAATAAAAAATGAATCCTGATTGATCTTAAAACTTTGGTGCTAGACCCAAAGCAAGGAACAAGCTTGAGCAGTATTTCCAAGCTGTTTGAAATGTGAGGCCCTTTAGTCTTTCACGTATTTCTGAAGTCCTTTCCATCCCGATGGACTCCTTCAGCCCTGCTCTGTGAGCCTCCTACATCTCTTGGGTTCCAGCCAGTCCTCTGGGAGTACGAGTATACATCTTCATAATAGGATCCTTCTTTTCCTTGCCTTTCCACTTACATGTGTTGACATTTGGGGTATCATTTTTCATATCTGATTGAGTGTCCATTGGAACAAACATGGTAGTTTGCAGCCCCCAGGTCTTCTGTTCCAGCATTTCTTCAGGCTTCTCCATGTTAGATACGCTCGTGTTTGGAGACTTCTGTGTGACTGCAACGGGGCTGGCACTGAGAAGAAAGCAAGCAGGCTGTAGGAAATAGCTGAGTGATTGCACCATCCTCCCTCTTGTTCTCCTCATTTCCTGATACTTCCCAGTCTTAACAAATTCTGAGATAAATTTATCCCTGAGTAAAGGCTGCTTAGCAGTCGTTCTTAAGCAGGCTATTAGTCTTAGTTTAGTGTTTTTACACTGATGGCGGAGTGGTGATTATACTTATTGCTGTATATTGCTTGTTCTGCAAAGAAGCAGAAGACCTCAGTTTTCAGGCCTTATAGTCAGATACTTTTGAAGAGGAAGAGATCTATTCATATATAATGTTTATTCTGTTCTTCATAGCACATAATTTCAAGGCTAAAATTTTGAGAGTGGCTTTTCCTTTCCTTGGTGAGAAATGCCACTCACACGTTCTTTTTTTCTCCCACTCAAGAGTGCTTGACTCCTCAAGTTAATTAACTGAGATTTGTCTGTATGGGAAAGTTGTAACAATTTTAGTCATGTAATTAGCCACTATTGTTGTACTAAATCCGTTGTAAACCCCTTATATTTAGGTGGAAATTATAATGCTAAACTCTTCTAAAGAGGCAAAAACTAAACCTGATGCTACAGAGATAAGAGTTTATATGGAAAGGTGCGCTCTACTGTACTGCTTTGGTACTGTAGCAGTTCAGATTCACATCTTTTTATCTTTTCTATTATAGAGAGAACTTGACAGGGTTTCATCTTAGTGTAACTTTGATTGAGGTACCAGGCCATTTGTTCCACAGTAATTAAGGCTGTGCTTCACTTACTGTGTCTGTATTCAGGACAGGGTGTAAGTGGGTGATGAATCCTTTATCAGTGAAAGCAAGCAACATTTTGCACAGGGGAACAGTTATAATTGGATGGAGCTCATGAGACTTCTTCATTCAAATTTATTCATTTGCGTAGGACTTAATGGCAGTTGCCTGAGGGTTTTCCTTTTGACTTGACTGATTCAGTATTGTGTCTGTATTTGTCCTGTATTAGAGTAATGAATATACTTTCTTAATTATGACAGCAAAAATAGTAAAGTCAAGGAAGAAGACAAGGTGGAGGAGAAAGAAGAAAAGGTGAAATGCTATAAATAGATACAATTATTGTTCTCATCATCATGGCTAGGCTTCGCAAACGGTTACGGGAAGGGCTCTACCCACACTTGCTACA